GGCACTAAACTTACCCCTCACAGGAACTCGTCGGACGCACGCCTCGTCAGCCACGGTTATGGCTTGCTGGAGTCCTTCCAACGCTCGGTCGATGTCCTCCACGGAGTCAAGCGGCGGGTTGTCGATGATGTGCCTGTCTACCACGCGTCCAAACTGGACCCAGTTAACGCGATGGTAGTCCTTGCGCAGACTTGAAGCAGGAGCCACGTTGCAGCCCAGTTCAGCCACCACCGGTTGATGGTCGGAGCTGAGTTCGTTTAAGGCTACCGGCTTGGACAAGTCGGTATTTGAAAGAAACAGGTCTAGCGTCGATGGGTTGCCTGCCGGTGAGATGAATGTAGGCTCGTCCGAGAACCAAACGGAGTACAGCCCATGCTGCGAGTGGTCGAACAGCAGACGACCGTTCTGGTTCTGCTGGTAGTTCCGCCAGGCCTCATGGCGAGCATTCAGATCTCCTCCAACAACGAATCGGGAACCGGTACGGGTGATGGTGGACAGGTCTTACTTGAATTTAGCCGCTAGTCCGCTGCTGGCGGCACACTGTCGAGGGCAGTAGACGGCGATGAACTTGACGTATTCAATCGACGACTCCACCTCCACACCAAGGGCCTCGATGATAGAGGTGCGGATATGGGACAGAGTGTGGTATTTTATTCCTTTCTTGACGACGACCGCAACACCACCCCCCCTGGAGCTGGTGCGATCAAGCCGAATAATGTTGTGGTCAGGCAACCAGAAGCTGTCGCCGGACTTGAGGTGGGTCTCGGTTAGAAGACCCACGTCGATGCTGTGCTTGCGGAGGAAGTCGGCAAGCTCAATCTCTTTTGCTCTTACAGAGCAAGCATTCCAGGTGATGATAGTTAGCGGTTTAGACGCCATACTGGATGATGAACTTACCGAGCACCTGGATCTGTTCGGGCTTATTGCGGCACTTACGAAGAGCACCGGACATGTTGACGAAAATTTCCATCAGCTCATCCGCTGAGAACAGATCGGGGTTGTTGTTTTGCGCTGTTGGTTGTCTCCAGAATCCAGGGGAGATGGAGAGCTTTGGCCAGCAGAATCACCGGAAGCTTCTTGAGGGGGGGCGGGTTGCACCCGCGAATTCGCTTGCCTTTGCTGGGGAGCACGAAGAGGCGGAAAATCCTCCGTCCTGAATGCTGAGGTTTTGTCCTTCTTGCGTCCTGGTTGATTGTTGCTTGACGCCTGCTTTCGGATGCTTTTGAAGTCCTCGCGTTTGGAGCACTGTCTGTCGGAACCATGATGTGCACCACCACAGTTAGCGCATTTTATCGCCACGGCTCCATCCGCAGGGCAGTTGGAAGTGGCGTGTTCTTGAGCGCAGTTGCTGCAGCGTGGCTTGATGTTGCAGTTGCGGGTACCGTGTCCAAAATTGAGGCACCTCTGACACTGCGTTACGTCACGATGGCCGCCACGGTATGGCTCCCACCGTACGATGATGGAGTAGATCGATCGGATGGCTTGTAGCGCATTGAGCGTCACCGTCCCTTTCTGGAAGTGCACCAGGAAAAGACAATCCGGGTACGTCTTCACGTTTTCGTCTCTCCTTGTCATTCGGAAGACAGCGATTGGGGCAAGCTTGTACCGGTTGATTTCAGCTTCGACCATCTTGGGGTCGAAGTTTGGTAGACCCCTGATGACTACCTTGAAGGGCTTCTCACCGGGGATGTCGTGCGTGAAGAATTCCGTTCGTCGCGGTGGCATCGTCCCGTCCACTCGCACCATCGGACTGGCCTTGATTTTTCTTCCTCTTCTTAGACCGCTTCACCGTGGCTGAGGTGGGATTCCCTACATCGGTGGGAAGAGTAGCGTACCTATTCGAAATAGGTACACTCAAGCTACCCTCACCGCTGTCCTTCTTCTCCGTTTTCTCTCTAAGCCTGCTCCGGGAGCGCTGTCTTCCCATCACACGAAGCGACTGACACTACTGACGACGCGATTAAACTGCGAATGTTTGGAACAAACTAGAAACTTTAGAACAACTCGACAGAGCGAGCAAAGACCGAACTGTACTGCTTGACGTTCCCAATGATGGAACGGGCGACCTTGTTGGACGCTTATATAGTAGAACAGAAAATATCAGAGGTGTCAGATACTCGCATCTGATGTCTCGGTTGGAGAAAGTATAAGAATATAAAAAAAAATCAATCGATTTTCACCATCTTTAGACAATGGTTTACTTTTTACCATTTTTCAATAGTTTACAGAATTAAATCAATAGTTTTGAAACATTCAGCAAATTGCTAGAAATATTTCCAATCGATTGATGCCATTATCTCGTAAATCTATCGAGAGACGGTTGAGTTATTATCGTTCAAAATCTTTTAATTTTCCGTAACGCATCCAAAATGACTGTTTTCAATTTTGTACCCCGTATATTGCCGAAAGACGTTATCCAACGTCAAAAATACAGGATGGAGGGATTTCCCGCCGGAGAGATAAAAGTTGGTTCGTCTGGAAACTGCACAGTGTACAGTCCATGTTGTGCGTAGTCGAACAATAGAAACCGTTCCGGTTCCGCTGGTAGTTCATGGCGGGCATTCAGGTCGCCCCCAACGATGAATCGGGAGCTAGTACGGGAATGGCGGTTAGATCGTTCTTGATTTGGATTCCTAGTCCGTTGCTTGCAGTACATTAACGTGGGCAGTAAACAGCGATAAACCGGACGTTTCCAGTTGGTGATTCCACCTCCACACTAGCGGCCTCGATGATAGAAGTGCGGATGTGGGGCAGAGTGCAGAACTTGATTCCCTTTCTGACCATGACCGCTATACCACCCCCCCCCCCCCCTGGAGCTGGTGCGATCAAGCCGGATAATGTTGTGGTCAGGCAACCAGAGAAGCTGTCACCGGACTTTAGATGGGTCTAGGTTAGAAGACCCCGGTCGATGCTATGCTTGCGGAGGAAGTCGGCAAGCTCAATCTGCTTAGCTCTTACAGAGCAAGCGTTCCAGGTAGCGATGGTTAGCGGTTTAGATACCATAGAGGATGATGAGCTTACCGAGCACTTGGATCTGTTCGGGCTTATTGCGCCACTTATGTAGAGCATCGGTCATGTTGACAAAAATCTCCATCAGTTCATCCGCTGAGAACAGATCGAGATTATTTGTTTGAGCTGTTGGTTGTCTCCAGAATCCAGGGGGGATGGAGAGCTTTGTCCATCAGAAGATCCAGACGTTTCGTGAGTGGGGGGGGGGGGTGGATCGCACCGTGAATTCTTTTATCCATGAAGAGGCGGAAAGTCCTCCACCCTGAAAGCTGGTGCCTTATCCTTCCTTCGTCCGGGTTGAATGCTGGTGGACGCCTGTTTTCAGATGCGCTTGAAATCCTCGCGTTTAGGGAACTGCTTGTCGGATCCACCACAGTTGGCGCATTTGGACGCCACAGCTTCATCCGCAGCACATTCGGAGGTGGCGTGGTTTTGAGCACAATTGCCACAGCGTGGCTTAATGTTGCAGTTTCGGGTGCCGTGTCCAAAGTTCAGACACCATTGGCACTGAGTTATATCGCGATGACCGCCCGATATGGCTCCCAGCGGACGATGATGGAATTGATGGAGCGGATGGCTTTCAAAGCGTTGAGCATCACCGATTCCTTCTGGAAGTGTGCCAGGAAAAGGCAGTCCGGATACGCCTTCACATTTTCGTCCTTTCTTGTCATCCGATAGACGGCGCTTGGGGCCAGCTTGTACCGGTTCCTGATTTCATGTGGGATAAACTTTGGGTCAAAATTTGGCAGGCCCCTGATGACGACCTTGAACGGTTTTACACCGGAGATGTCGTGGGTGAAGAATTCCACCTTGGAAGTCCTCAGGTGAGCGATGACCAAGTCATACTCCGCTTTCGTATGACTTGCTGCCGACTCTGCCCAACTTGAATTCGGCTTTGACGCCCAGCGATGCCAGATCTACGATGAGCTCGTTAAAATGGGCATTTTTCACTACCAGCGGAGGTAGCTTCACTCTTGCCGCGCTCATGTTGGCAGCATTTTCTTTATCAGCAGAGTCACGGAAATGTCCGTTCGTCGCAGAGACATCGTCGCGACCAATCGTGCCATCGGACTGGCCCCGATTCTTCTTCTTCTTCTTCTTCTTGCTGCGTTTTGCCGTCACAGCTGGCTGGATATTCCCATCCATGGGGAGAACAGCAAACCTGTTGGATGTAGGTACACCCGAACTTCCTTCGCCGGGGTTCTTGTCCTTCACCGGGCTTCGCGAACGATGCTTCCCCATTTCGGGGCGCGCACATACAAAAAACCGCGAAAGAGAGAGCGCGAACACTATTGCCACGAACTTTTCGAACAACTCGAAGAGCGAGCTAACACCGAACTGAACTGCTTGACGATCAAGCAGAGAATCGTGCCATGAGTTGAGGCACAAAAGCAGCGCTGTTTTATAACTTTTCAGATTCAATCAGCACGATGTGCACCCAAATGGTACTCGATTATGAGGACTGGGTTTGGGAAGAATGTTTATTTCATGAAAAAAAGTGAAACAATTATCACTTTTTATTTGCACATTTTCAACAGTTTTTAATGAAATTTATTGTAGCGCAGATTATGAGAGTTATTTTCTATCGATTTGTTATTTAGATTTTAATTTCATCTATAAATGAAAAAGTTATAAGCGTTCAAAACCTTACACCTTTTCGTGACGGTCGCAATTTTAGATTTTCGATTTACCCCCAGTAGCTTCCCTTAAGACGTAGTCTACGTAAAAAATGCAAGGTAAATATCGATGAAAAGAATCGATCTTCGTAGTTAGAAACGCTAGAAATGTGTCAAAATAGATTATGACTCCATTACATTGGAATTACTCAGAACACACTCGAAAATCTTAAAGCTTCCTAAACCATACTGTAAATTTACAGCTGGCCACAAACATGATCTCTACTTATTTGAGTGATTGCACTCCAGGACCTTCAATCCATGAATCTTCTTGTTCTTCGTCTAACGATTTTACTGAATTATTCTCAATTACAGATCATCGGCGCTGGGCTGTTCGCCTTCACGATCTACATCCGAGCCGAGCCGGGCTTCGACGAGTGGGTTGCCCTGCTGGACATCTACCAGTACTACATCGGCGTGTACATCCTGATCGGTACCGGTGCGCTGGTCATGATCTTCTCCTTCCTCGGGTGCTGCAGCGCCCTGATGGAGCACTCGTTAGCACTCTATGCGGTAAGTGTGGCACTTTGACAAAAACACAAATTTCCAAACCTCAAAGTGGAGTATAGGTTCAGGCGGAAAAACTACCACATTGCAAGGAAAACTAATTAGAACGAATTCACCAGTAAACGGTATTTCACACGCGCGCATCCGATGACCTTTTGCATCTCGTAGAAAGTGGTGGACCCCCATTGTGTGCACTGGATACGGGCGGACCTACATATGCCCGAGCCGAGACTGTTGAAACCCCCATTCTCCACATTCCCGACCACGACGACGTCATTCCAGTGAAAAATGATGTTATGCGAACAGTAATTAGTGCAAGTTTTTATTTGCTCCACCAGTCAGCAGTCAGCTGTGTGTGTGTTTGTGTGTGTTTGCTCTTACCACTTCTAGTGCCCGGAAATTTTCTGCTACACGGCGCTGTTGCTTCAGGAGAGTAGACCATGGTTGTGCTGTGTTGAGTCTAGTACAGTAACAGCACACTTTGTGCCAATATATTAAGCATGTTTGAGGAGACTTTCGACCAATGGGTGGGTGGTGTTGATGTTGTTTGTTCACCACTTGGAAGCAGAAGAAGCGGGTCATTCTGAGGGGTTGGCTGTCCCGGTTTGAGGACGGCGTCACGGAAGAATGTTAATTATTATTCGATGGCGCTCGCTCTGCGGGGACTTGCCTGTGCTGTGTGGACTAACAGAAAGGCTCTTGGAGATATTGCCGTTCTATTGCGCCACCAGCAACCGACCGGTGTGGGTTGGAAAGATAAATTGAAATATGTTCAATTAATTATGACACATGCTGCCACGGAAGGCTTTCTCATTTAATTCATGTAAGAGTATGGCTTTGCGGTGGGTCGTTTTGAAGGGGTCAAATGGGCATCCCACTGGGATATGTAACATACTCGTGCAGTTTTCTCTGGGAATCAATATCTAGATCGAATCACTTCATTTTTTAGAAATTTGTTTTGTTAAACAGGCTTGTGACATCAACATAATAAATGTTACATGACTATGTAAAAATCAGATATTGACTAAATTCTCCAACCAAAACTGGTCCACAACTAAATTAGGAAACCTAAAAATTTCCTTATCCGTGCCAAATCAGGAAAAATGGTGTTCAATAAAGAATAAAACCCATCCTCTAGCTGACAACTAAACAGCAGTACGTTCGTTTCGCATTGCTGACACTCGGAACAACCGAAATGCAAAATGTATTCTCTACCGCAATCGCCATTCCGTGCGTCCAACTGATGACGACCGTCGCCGACGCCGACGCCGACGCCACCCAACGATGACATCAACCAAAATGCGAATGGAGCTATTAGCAACAGCTCGTTTCCATGTCGCCTGTTTCGAAAACAATCTCCTCGATCACTCGGAACGGAGGACTCCCAGCCAGCAGCGCTGAACAACGGAACCGTTTTGCATCTGACAATGTACCGCATGATGCTACTGGTGCAGTTTGCAGAGACTTGCTTCTTGTCTCGTGGAGTAGTAAGTTGGTAGTTGTCCACCCGGAACAACACAGCAGCTACAACTGATGATGACAGCCTTCCGCTCGTCCCCGCACTTTTCCAAGTCCAGAGGGGGGCGGTGTTCAAGATTGTCGTTGGAAAAAGTTATGAATTGTTCCCGAGGCGCATCCGGCAAGGTCCATCTGGACTTTGCGAGCGGTTAGTGGAGGAAGGTGTTTCTCAACCACCAACAGCAGGGGCAAGCAAAACTATTACAGCTGGTCATAAATTAAGTTTAAATATGGAAATAACGTAGCTATATAACGTAATAAATATTTTATTAGAAGCTATTATTTATGGAAGGCACATTATTTTTCTCCGCCATTGGAACTTACGATCGGAGGAAGTAGGTGCATTTTTTCCCCATTATGACGATAAGGAAAACGATTTGTTGCATACTTTATGAGGTCCAATGTCCGACGTTGGCATGTGGGAAATCGTCACCCTCCCTGAACCGAACCGGAGCAATCCCGATGGGCCATAAAAATGTCACCACGAGACGGTTGGTGTCAAACTTAAACAAAACTAACGGGAAAGAAGCGGGAAAAGTCAACCACCCTCAGCAGCCCCGAAGAAGTTTTGCGGTTTTGTGTGCGTTAGTTGTTGTGGCAAAATCCTAATCCGAATCGTTGGGGGATGGGGCCGAGCCGGCGTCCATTTCGTCGGATTGCTATTGAGTGTTTTTCCTGCGCCGTGATTCAGTTTGCTCATTTCTCAAGCTTAACGACGCGAATCGGGAAGGTAAATAAGTACGGAAAAAGGAAGCAAATCTCCCTGCGGCGATTGTGGTGGCACATGTGCACCAAAGGGAGCAGGGGAAGACAAATGGAACTCCACTCTACGCTGGCTTATCCCATTAACCGGTGTCAGGTGGAAGTGAGGAATGGGGATAGAAATGTCCTTTTTTGTTTTCAGAAAGGCTTTTGTGTGAAGTTTTATTTAACGTGCTTCAGATTTATCACCATTGTCGTTTTTTGACGCAGGACTACGTCTGTGATTTCTATATGGGTGTACACTTTGTGAAAACCAAAAATAGAACATGTAACGAAATTATGAAAGATTTTGAATGTTAATGACTCAGCTGCCCCTGGGCCAATTTCAATAACTTTATCACCAATCGATTAGAAATATTTCCACGCATTGAAAGCAATGCATTTGATTGTTTATTTTTTTAAGCTATTGAAAAGAAGTGAATGTCAAGAATTTTCCAAAACCGTCGAAATAACTAACAAATCTACCAATTACGTACATGCATATGCTGCTTCCCCAACACAGTTATCAGAGAGTCGTTAGTAGACGAAACAAGTTGAACATTCTGGTTGTAATTCTGCTGTTCGACATTTTCGAAGGGCCACTGAAAACATGAAATTACACTATTTTCTAGGGATGCCGAAAAGTTCCGATTGATCGTAAAAAAAATTAAGCTATTAGATTAAATATTAATCGAATTTTCAATTATTCGAGCGGGTAACCGACATCCCTTCTTATTTCAACGTGTTTGATTTAGCGCAGTAAAGGAAATAAATAAAAGTACTAATTTTTCTGAACAGGCATAAAGAAGAACCATGACGTAAAGCAGGATCATACATTCGCCGAAAGAAGTGTTAAGCGTCTTTCTGCTAAAGACTAAGATTTACCAACCTGTTGAGAGAAGGAGTTTAACGAGAAAAACTAAAAAGTAGACGGGTCTGTGTCTAGGGGCACGAACGGAAGCTTGACGTAGGACCGCTAGTGGACGGAACAAATATGTTGAGCATTTAGTTCTTTTAATTGATTAATCATCAATTATCTCAACTCTTTCCGTTTTTTTATTTGTAAGCGTATCAAATTTGTAGTATTTATTTCAAAGAGAAAGTTGATGAAGATAATCCAAGAGACTGTCAACTTGAGTATTTTCGATTCATCTACCCGACTTTAAAAGGTATATTTTGAATTTTTTTGTTATTCATGAATTTTTAAGTTTTGTGCATTTTGGTATTAAATGTATTGAATTCACCCCTCACAGGATTTCCTTACGAATTATATGAATGGGTATCATTTGTGCAGAATATGTAAAAAAAGGAGGGACTTCGAGAGATTGAACTCGTGAGAGCTAATTATCTCACAAATTTGATTTTATTTGCTTTCTGGGGACTGGGGACACCCAAGGCTAATTATTCCCACTTCTCTCAAATTCTATAGGGATTTTTTGGACGATGATTAATCTCATCAATACATTCGGGCCTACAATTCCACACCTTCTATAGATAACAGGTTGAGCCTTGATAGCTAGCTGCTTGCGGGAACTGATGACCTTGACAAATGTCACAAGTAATACTCTTAAAAAATTGATGTTGGTCCTGTAAAGGACCGTGTTGTAGTGAGGGTTGAGTAATGCTGAGCTGCGCACAACGAGCTACTGATTCCGATCCTAGCCTAGCGGTGGGACTTCTTCCTCCTTCTCTATGGTTGCTCATATGAGCTCTGCAGCTCGCTGCTTACAGGCAGCCTTTCGTTGTTGTTGTTGAAAGCACTCCTGCTTCTGCTGCTGCTGCTGCTACTGCTGCTGCTACTACTGCTGCTGCTGGACTGGACACCACCACTTACAGTGATTGAATGAGCACCGTTCACTGGGACCGCATTGAATTCGATTTTTAAGTCTGTGTTAGGGAATGCGCTTTTTTCAGACATTCGGTGATAATTTTGATCACCATTGCAACAGTTGGACATTTGGTATTTTTCAATAGTGACCTATTGAAAATTAACTAAGTGTTCATTTTAGCAGATTGATAGATAAATTTCCAATCGTTTGGCTTGTTTAGAATTAAAATCTATCTGCTATTGGTCGAAACCTGACCTCTTTTCGTAATGCTGTGCATTTTGGTTTTTTAAAACTGCGTGGATTCTATAGATCTTGTGGAGATCTATCTAGCCCTGATGTATGTGTTCGTAGAGGGAAAAATGTAAACTTTGCGGGAGACGATATCTTAACACTCGAAAGCAATTTATTGAAATATGAAGTTAAACAAATCCTAGCTAGTTCTGCATGATGATTTTGTTTGATTTTATTTATTTGTAAAGTCGCCGGGAAATACCAGCAGGCGATTTGTTTTTTATGATAACTCCTTACTTGAAAACAGGCAAAAACTCAACTTACTTAAACTTACTTGAAAACAGGCAAAAACTAAACGAATAAACAAAACGTGCGGAATGAAAGTCGAGGAAAAAATAATTGCACCAATATATTCAGGCCTACAATTCCACACCTTCTAAAGACAGGTTGAGCCTTGCGGGATCTGATGACCTTGACCAATGTCCAAATAATACACTTTAACAAATTTTTGGTGGCCCTGAAAAGGACCGTTTTGTAGTGATGGTTGAGTAATTCTGAGCTGGGTGTTCAACACGGATGAGGCTGTCGAGCTGTATTTCGTTTGGATCGAGGGTAACACGCTTGGCATAGATGACCGACCCGCAGTGACTCACGAAGAGCTACTGATTCCGATCCATAGCATAGCGG